AAAAGAGGCAGCTGTGGCACTTTGGGACATGGTTTAGTGGGCATGGTGGTGTTGGGTTGATGGTTGGGCTGATGACCTTAGAGGTCCTTTCCAACCTTAATGATTCCTAGTTTTTACTTTCATTAAAAAACAATCCAGCCACCAAGCCAGGAAACATGAAATTGCTACTCTGCCCTTAATTGATTTAGTGGTGGACTTGGTAGTGTTAGGTTAATGGTTGGACTGGATGATCTTAACGGTCTTTTCCAACCTAAACAATTCTATGATTCTGTGATTCCCAGCTCATTGAGCCCTCCAGGGCTGCCTGGGGCTTATTGCTCAAGCGCAGAGAGGTTGTGCTGTTTGGGAAAGATTCATCCTGTCCATTGCCCTTGTGTGAAGATATGAGCCAGCTCCAAACCCAGGGTTCAGCTGGCCAAAGAGGAGCTCACAGGTTGCATGACACAGGCGCTGTCATCTCAGTGGCTGGTGATGCCAGGTGGGATGAGTCTCACCTACTCTTGCTATTTCACTTTTCCCTTTATTTTATTTCCTGAGTTGCTCGTACTTGAGCACACATGAAAGCAGGTTTTCCGCTCCTCAGCCCCGTGCAGGCAATCCAGCCGGCAAAGCGCAAACTGTGCCTCGTGCTTCTGCTGTGCGCAGCGGCCGCGGTTGCTTGTGCAGAGCACGCTGGCCGCTGATAGCAAGCGAAAAGGCAGCCTCGGGACGTCCCTCCACCCCCAGTGCTGTAATCCAGCCTTTAAAACTCCTCTCTGCGTGCTTTGGGGACTTTTTGTGTGGGTGGGGGCTGCCAGGGAGCAATTGAAGAGCCCACGGGATGTCTCTTTTGTTTTTAAAAACCTGCTTCCTTTTTGCAACTGAATTTTTGAAAGGCTCTAAGCTGGGGGTGGAGGAGGGGAGGGCAGAGCAGGCAGAAACTTTGCGAGCAGGTTGGCATCGTGGCTGAAAGCACCCGGACGCTGGGCTGTGCGGCCGCTTCGCCTCCTACCCCGCACATGGGTCTCTGCCGTGGTCCTGTCCCCGCTTCGGTGCCGTGAAGCTTTGCTCCGAAGGGATACCTTGGGTGTAAGAAGAGGAATGTCTTGTGCTTAATGAAGCAATTAGGTGCTTCCCAGCTCTGAGCTTCATTATCAGCCTTGGCTTGCTTTTGAGAAGCAATCCAGAATGACCTGTGACCCGGGGGGACCTGCTTATTCAACTGCACGAGCCAAGCATCCTTAATTGCTTTGGTGCAATGATTATTTTCATTACAGCATTGTTTGCTCTGCAAGAAGCAGGGAACTTCCATCACCGAGGCTCTTATCTGTGAAAACAATTCCTGAACTTTTGAACTATCTGCACTGCGTGCGCTACCCCCGTGATTTATGACTGTTATCTGTGTGACTCGGGACGTGACAACCTTCACTGTCCTCCAGACTTGCATCCAGTGTCGCGCTCTCCTGCCTTACCACGTTGTTGATATCTTTCCCTGCATCAGCTCTACAATTAGCTGCTGGCGCTGCCTCCCAGCCCTCCTGCGCTCCCTTTGGCACACCCTTGGCAAACTCCCCATCTCGGGGCAGGTGGCTTTGTACACAGGGAGCTTATGAACTTCCCACCTTAAGGGTCTTGGGGTGTTTGCCTGAGCTGTCAAGCCACCACCCACGTGCACGCCCTGAATCGGGGGGGTGTTTGCAGATGGGATGCTCTCGGGGTGCCCGGGGCCGTGATGCCTCCAGCGGGAGTGAGCCCCACAGAAGCTGAGCGAGGGCAGGGCCTTTGGCAACGTGCTCGGTGGGTGCTGTGCCACCAGCTGACACGAAATCCTTCGTTGGTGCCACCCACTGGGCATTGCCTCCTGCATGGACGGGCTTCTCGCTTGGAGCTGACGCTTCCGAGAAAATGAATCCACCCTGGGATGGGATTTTGCACAGGGAAGGGGTTGTCATTGCCTGGTAGTGCCTCTCACCTTTACGCTCAGTAATTTTGTGAGCTAGCACCATGAACGAGCGTGGTGTAAACGGTATCGATCCGAGAACCACGTGGCCTTTTGTGCAGAAGTGACCAAGTTCGATGATGGGAATCGAGCGTGGCCTGAAGGATCCAGTGTCCCCTCTGAGCCACGCTGCCAGCAATCTCTGATGGCTGTCCGGGAAGAGCCCCAGGCAGTGAACATCACCTCATGTCCCCGCTGGCGTGGCTGCCGGGCATCTGGATGAGGAAAGCGGGCAGCTGAGATGCGAGGCCGGGGGGAAGCTGCTACAGCCCCCAACTGACCTAAATAACATGCACACCGGCACTGGCAGAAAAGCAAAGTCATTATTGGCAAAAGAAGCTGTGAAGATGATGACCAGACTAACAACTGCCGGTCGTATCCGCAGGACAATTTTAGCATTGTTGGGGTTGCTTTTTTTTTCAAATGAACAAGATCTTTTGTTGAAGTGTGTGCTGCTGGGCACCACTGGATGGTTTTACCCCCGTTGCCTCCTTTTGCCGAGACGAACAAAACCTCAGACGTGGGGGACGGACCGGCATCCCGCATGGTGAGCATGGCACCTTGCAGCGGCGGCCGG